AGGGCAGAGGACGAACCACCACCACGACCCTGGACAGTTGACGACCTCGACAGATGCCTGAAAAGTGAGCCCGACAAAGGCAGCGGAGTGGACGTGTTGCGGCGCAGTGATCTGCGACGGCTGTACCACGGTCAGGACGACACGCACTGACCGACCTCTTCAACGTGTGCGAGCAGCACCTCATGTGGCCATAGTGTTTTCATTTGCAATGATCACTTCCAAGCCCACCAAGGGAGACAAAGCCCTTGGCCTACGACCGCAACTATTTTGCTGCTGGGAGCTGTAGCATCGAGATCAGGTTCGAAACTGGGCAAAGGCACACGAAAGAGAATGTGACGCGGCCATCGCGGGCAACAGCTGTCTGAGAGAGGCGCTCCGCTGCCGCATCACGGACGAGTGCGCCGACACGTTCAACATGACCGAGTCCATCTTGCTTGCCGACAGTGGGACGTTCTACGACAGCCTCAGGATGGACAAGACAGTACCAGCGGCACTGCACATGCAGCTCCCAGCGCGACAACTGTACCAGATGAGGCTCCAACCTACTGCCATAAGAGTGTTGCGCAGACGCGGGCGAAGGCCAACCTGACGCAGCAAGGCGCCATGATCTCGCTCAAGTACGGACCAGCACTCCACGGAATGGCGCTTAGATCACTGCTGCACGCGAGACGTAAGTACGCCCACGCACTACGATGCCCATGGCCTGGAAGATGCCTGACCACCTACTTGGACTTGGCAGGCGTAGACCCAGCCTACACCATCGCAAAAGCGAAGTTCGCCAACTTGTTCAATTGCTGGGGACGTGGCCTTACCTGCGAGCTCAGGTACGGCGAGCATGGCCTAAGAATTATGTCAGAATGCTCAAAGTTCCAGACAACAGAAGATGGACCCAGGGAAAAAGAGGACCGAATGCAGCGATCACACTCGCACAATGGGAACTGGGCTGGGACTCCAGAGGGCAAGAGCACTGGATCGACCGCGACAAGAACGACTGGAAATTCCCGCAGGACGGCAAGCTAGGAGACCTCACAGACATCCTGGACGCTATCATGAGAGACGTCCAACTCAAGCTGTGGCAATCAGCCGCAGATCAATACAACGGGAAAGGAAAGGCCTTGAAAACCACAGAGCGGACACGACAGACTTGAGAAGACACCTGGAATGGCTACGCAAGCGAGTGAATACGGAGGGCTACTATCGGCGGCTTGTGCAGGTACCTGGACACGAACGCAGAAGAAGGCTGCATTCGGACACGGATGCGATTGCTGCGCATGCGGATCCACGGACGGCGACTGCCACCGAATGTGGGAGCGATGCCAATGCAGGAGCGACGACGCAGCGTACGAGAAGTCAGAACGCCTACGCACTCAAGCAGCAGAAGACCACATCGACGCGCCCGTGTTCTGGCCATGGGGTATCACACCATGAGCATGGTCAGTGCCGCCAGAATGCACCACCTCGGAGATGGCCAACAACGTAGGGGAGATGATCCACGCCGGCCGCATCCAGCCCCCCGACGACAACCCCCTCGTGATCTACGGAGACGGCTCAGGTGGCAAGCGCAGCGCGGACTGATGATACCAACAATGTGGTTGGGCTTGGGCACGGCTTTCCACAACTGACGACGACAACTGCCAGCCAGCTCACAGCAGCACGCTACGGCCCACAGACACACAGACGGCAGACCAGCAACAGAGCGGAGCTCTGGGCACTACTGGACTGCCTAGAGGGCCACTACGCTACTGGACCGACAGCGAGCAGGAATCCCACCAGCCCTCTGGGCGTCGGTGGTTTAGGGCGTTTCCTCTTCCACCCCTCCCTCTTCCCCTTTGGGCCCCCTCCCCACTGACCTGGACAGAAAGGGCGGGGAGCGATCAGAGCGTCCAAAACGGCCTCGGCGAGGAAGCCAAAATCATTGATTTTACTATGGTTTTGGCCCCATTTTGGCATGGGCAGCGCTAATTAGAGCTCCCTTCTTCTTTGATCGATTTCCTCTACGATGGCCGCGAGAGGCCCCCAGGATGCCCCAAGAGGCCCCGAGATGGCCCCAAGATGGCCCCATGTGGCCCCAAGAAGCTCCCAAGCGGCCCCCAGGATGCCCCGAAGAGGCTCCCAAGAGACCCCCACGAGGCCCCAAGAGACCCCCCAGAGGCACCCAAGACGCTCCAAGAGGCCTCGGCGAGAATGCCCAAATCATTGATTTTACTAAGGTTTTGGCCACATTTGGGCCTCCTGGGGGGGGTGGCACTGCTTCAGATGACTCCAAGAGCGCCTGGGAGAGCCCAAGATGACCTCCAAGATGGCTCAAGATATCCCAAGATGCCTCAAGATGGCTCCCACGATGCTCCAAGAGGCCCCAAGACCGCTTCAGGACGGCTCCAAGTGGCCAAAGAGCTCCCCCAGGAGGCCCCGAAGAGGCCAAAATCCTTCCAAAACCTTCGGAAAATCAACATTTTGGGCTTTCTCGCCTTTTCGCTTCCGATGGCCATCCGAGGCTTCAAGATGACTCCAAGATGGCCCAAGAGGGCTCCAAGAGCGCTCTGAAGGCTCCCAAGAGCGCTTCAAGAGGGCCCCACGAGGCGCCCATGAGGCCCCAGGAGGCCCCAACAAGCGCCCCAGAGGCCTCCAAGAGGCCCCCAAGAGACCCCCAAGATGCCCCAAGAAGCTCTCCAAAGCACCCAAGACGCTCTAAGAGGCGTCCGGGACCGCCAAAAGGCCCCTAAGACGCTCCAACCGGCCTCCACTGGGGTACACTTCCTTTGTGTGCTGCCCACTTCCCTGATCGAGGCACTTCCTCTGGGCATCGTTTCTGGATGAGCTGGTGGTCTTACGCGAAGCGTCTAGAATTCAATGGATGGTGCAGCAAGCGATATCTACGTGCAACGAAGTGGGCACCAACGGCGACCTGTGGGAGCTCATCTGCAAGGAGCTCAACCTACGGGGGCACAGGGTAGACGAGGAAAATGAGGTCCACCAAATCAACAGCCACCTCACCTGGGAAGAAGCCACACCGCGTGAATTCCCACTACATGCATGGCACTGCAACGGACAAGTGAACAAGCTCGCGAGACAGCAGCACACGAACACGACATCGACGACGCACAGATGGCATGCTACGATTGGATCAACGCCACAGCAGCACCTGTTCGACGAAGAATAGCGACAGCCACAGTAGACGCCATCGACAGACGCCCATCCGATGAGAAAGAAGTACGATAAGCCAGACTTGAAATGAAGCGGCATCGGAGAGTCCAACAACGACGACGACGGGACTACTTCGCTGGCGGACCTGACCAATCAGAAGGCGGAAGACGACCACTGACTACACACAACCTGACGAGGCCAAGACAAGGCAAAGGTTGGAAATGCAAGTACGCAGCACGGCACATCAGCACACCCAAGCCACCCGCTCGTACTGCTCAGAGCGAAGCCAGATGGTTCTGCAAGCCATGCGGAGCAACGACGACAGAGTACATCTCGGATAACTGAGAAACGAGTGCAAGAGACGAGCAGGATACAGCAGCATCAAGTACACATTACTCCACTGGCTCGGCGAGGTGGAGAAAGAAATCGGAGAACGAGGACACGATAGCGGCTCGAAAAACAGCACCACACCCCTTCTGCAAAGGGCTGCTGTGAGAACCGACCTGCTTGGCGAGAAATCGCCTACGTTTTGCCGAGTTACGCATCTGACACCCACCCGCAGCCAGCACGACGAGGACAACAGCGGCTTGCGGGATAACCAACAGGCACGCACCACACCGCCTCACACGAGGCTGGATGTGAGCACTGCCTGGTTGGCACGTCGCCCGCGTTGTGCCGAGATGCCTCATCAAGCGACCGCGACCCGTCCAACGAGACCAGCAGTACGACCATAAAGAGCCAGCAGGCACGCACCACGCCACCTCGCGGGAGGATGGAGGTGAGTACCGAACTGCTTGGCTCCACGTCGCCAGTTTTGCCGACATGGCGAGGACACCGATATCCAGCTCAGGAGTCAAACAGTTGCAAGCAACGGGGCTGAGGGGGGGGACGGCCACTCCCTGCGTCAACCAGGTGGGGCGGTTGGTGAAGGTCAGCGTGCTGAACCGCGCCGGCCGAATCTGACCGCTCCCATCACGGACACGAAGCAGGACCAGCACCATGACAGCATTCCGCAGCACGATGACAACCTGTCTGGTACTGCCACCCTCATTGGAAAACATGTCGCGGCGGATGCTCACGGCTGCTGCCGTGTGACGGATCTCGGAGGTGGAACGACGACACGCCACAATGCGAGCCCGACAGCACCGCTCCCCGCGCCTCCGCCAGATGCGCGGGGGGGGAAGGGGCGGTCCCCAGGGACGCGGCCCCCAAGACCACTGCTGCGAGAAGGAGATTGACGAAGAGGCAGAGGCCGCAGCAGCAGCAGCAGCACGACGACAACTGGACTGCCACCTTCCTTGGAAGGCATGTCGCAGCAGATGTACGTGACGCGAGTCGCGGGGAGTCTCCTGTGGGGTGCTGAGGGCCTCGGAGGTGGAACGGGGACACCACCGACGAGACCATCAGCACGGCTCCCTGCGCCTCCGCCAGACGCGCAGGGAGAGAGGGCGCTCCCCCGGGACGCGGCCCTCGGAGCGGCGGCGGCCAGCGCCCGCCCACCCTCACCACGGCTCCCTGCGCCTCCGCCAAGTGCGCAGGGAGAGGGGGCGGTCCTCAGGGACGCGGCCCTCGGAGCGGCGGCGGCCTGCGCCAGCCAGGCGCGCGGGCCACCCGCCGCAGGCAGCCACTGCGGCTGGGGCGGAAGGCTGGAAAGTCCCTGGCACGGGACGCAGGCGCGTGCGCGCGCGACCACGTACAGCCCCCCCCCGCACCACGTGGCCCGACTCGCGCAGCTCGGCCGGGATGCCTGCTTGGTGAGGGCGCCAGCTCGTGGCCGCGCTGGCGCGGGGTCGTCAACTGGGCGGCGCTGCGCGGCATCTTCCTCGTCCTCCGCCTCCTCCACTCCTCCTCCCCGCCTAACTCCTCGGGCGCAACCAGGGGCGCGCGCCTCGGCTCTTCAGCCGCAAGCGCCGCCGTACGTGGGCCGCCAAACCGGACACCTGACAGCTCTGACCACGTCTGGGCTCGTCTCAGGCGAAGGATCGGCTGGGCAACAGAAGCGAGAGGACGGAGAGCGTTCCGAGGAAAACAGGTGGCGACAAGGGTGGCGAGCGAGGCATGGGAGGTGGTGAGCACGCCACAGCAGGCGAGAGGATGGGAATCGAGAAGTGACCAGCTAATTACGTCATAGGAAAGGTAATTCACCTGGGGCACTTCCAAGGGTGCCAGAATCTCTCAGCGCAGCTCGGGCAGCCAAGGAGGCACGGGGAATGCTTCTCAATGCAATTGTCCGAGATCCACGCAGCAGCGAACGTGTTGAGTACAGCAAAAGCAACGGGCTGGTCACCACTTGACATCGACCCCAATCTATACCATCGGATCTCCTCGAAATACTCTGGACACCAATCCCGTAGGCGAGCGATGCAGGTGGAGGTGAGCTCTTGACGCTCTCCCAGTCGGCGCCCCTGACCCCCGCCCCTCCCGAGCCGCCTACAGCAAGGAATTAGTGCAACCGAACCTTCACCCGGCAGCCGGCCTCTGGGCGATGAACGGGCGGAGCTCACGGTTCCGCGTGCGGAGCAACCGGCTCGCGCTCCACCTCTCGGCCTCTCTGTAGCCCTTAAGCTGTGACGCTTCGACCTCGAGAATAGCCGCGGCGGGTCCAGCCCCAGCCAGTCAGCCGCGCCCCGTTCCACATTTCTGAGAACTCCCGGGCGTCACTGGGGGTGACGAAATTGACAAGCACTTCTGTGGTCCCGGCGTCGAAGTCCGTTGGGGAGTAGGCGAAGTCATAGCGGCTCGCGAAGCCACACCTGTCGATGAGGTCAAGCAAACCCCTCTGCGTCACAGCCATCGGAATGTTACGGACCACAAGCGTAACCCCAGGAAGCACTTAAGAAACCCCCCGGCGATATCTTAGCACCGCATTTTTATTCGATATTCCGAGGGGCCGAAATAACCGCACGATAGGTTTAGCACCCGGACACACAACAAATTCGCGGAGGCCTGGCCCCTGGGCTACAATCGAAATTCGAAATTCAAATCTGCGTGGCTCTCATGAAAGACTCAGGATGTCGCTTGCTGCTTGGAAAATTCATGCAATGATAATTGTATTAATATTCGCAAGCATATTTGATGACTCCTAACGACTTGAATGGATCCATCAGGTTTCATACAAGTTCCGCAGGGTTCTCAAGGATTCCTACGGGTTCACAAAGATTCGTCAGGATTCATACAGGATTCAAAGGACGTCCAGGGATTCCTGAATATTTCCAAGGAATCCAAAGGATTCCTCAGGAGGATGAGGAGGAGGAGGAGGAGGAGGAGGAGGAGGAGGAGGAGGAGGGCTCCTGGTGCCAGGTAACGCTTCCAGGGTGCGGAAGGGTTATCGATTTGCCGGAAGGGGGGGGGGGGGTTCTTAAATGCTTCCTGGGGTTAGTGATGGCTGGAGCGCTCGGGGCGGCGGGCGCTGCCCTTCCCATTGGCACCGGCACGTTGACTACGAGCTCGCCCTGCTGAAGCTCCAGCTCTACCAGGCTGGCCTCCTGCTGGAGAATGCTCTGCCTGATCTCCTGAGCCTGCCGCTGGAGCTCTGCCAGCAGCTGCTCCTTCTGTGGCAACTCTGGGAGCCTCCCATACCATCTTGTCGGCTCTTGCGAGTCGACGCTAGTCGACGCTAGTCGACGCTACATCGGCGCTGAATCTACGCTGGCCGTCGTGGAATCGGCGCCACCTCATCTACTCCCAGACGCTCATCGAAGGCAATCGACGCTGAATACAGAACATAACTACGAGGGTATACAAGGTTCCCATGATTTGCTGCCGAATGTGGTGGGCCTGTTTTCCACCGCCTCCACCAGAAGCAGGCGGGGGAGTGGGTCCTCCTCCTCCTCGTCTTCCTCCTCCTCCTCCTCCTCCTCCTCCTCCTCCTCCCCCTCCTCCTCCTCCTCCTCCTCCTCCTCCTCCTCCCCCCCTCCTCCTCCCCCCCTCCTCCCCCTCCTCCTCCTTCCCCCACCGAGCTTTTATGGTGGTGGTGGTGGTGGTGGACGACAGGCCCATCACCGAGTGCTCCTGCTCCGCGAGCCTGGCCCGCTGCCCCTCCAGCGCCCTGCTTACCACCCTGGAACATATCCCTATCCCTATGCTGGGCACCTCCTCATCACGATGCCGATCTTAGGGATTCCCTTCTTTTTGGAGGGCGGCTCCCTGAGATTGCCATCGCCTTCTGGCGTATCGATCTTACGGATAGGGACACGTTCGAGGCTCGTAGCCTGCGGAGGGCCGCACGCGCGGCCTGCCGGGCGGCCTCCGCCTGCCGTGCGCGCGCTGGCCGCCACACGCCCGGGGGCCGCCGCGCGGGCGCTGCCCCCGCGGCGGGGCGCGGCGGCGCGCCGGGCGGCGCGCTCCGCGAGCCGGGCGGCGGCTGCACGCCGGCGGCGCCGTGCGAGGGGACGCCTCCGGCAGGGGTCGACCTGAACCGTGCGTGTCGCCTTCGCCCTGTTTTCGCTTTTTCCCCTCGTGTTGTCCTTCGCTTTGGCTTGTTGCTGTTTTCGGTGTCGCGTTGCCCCTCGTCCTGTTTTGGTTTGCGGTTTCGCTGTTGCCTTTGGTTTCGTTTTTTCCCCTCGTCGTTTTGTCTTTTGCTCTGGTTTGTTGTTGTTGTTGTGTTTGGTGTCGTGCTGCCTTTTGTTTCGTTTTGGTTTGCGGTGTCGCTTTTGCTTTCGCTTTTCGTTCTTCGTTGTCCCTCGCTCCTGCTGCACAGCGGAGCCGACACGAAAGCGGCCCACGACACCGCCCACAAACACACCGTTCGGGTCGACCCCTCGGCCTCCTCCGGGCCGAGGCGGCGGCCGCTCGCGAGCGGCCGGCGGGGCGCCGCCGGCGCCCTCCCGGGCGGGGTCCCGCCCGTGAGCGGGCTCTCGGGTGCGCGGCCGCCTCCGGCGGCCGCGCGCCCGGGCCGAGCTCGTTGTCGGTCGCCCAGGGCTCGCCGTCGCGCTCCTGGCAGGGCGGCGGAGACCGCGTGGTGGGGAGCGACGTCGTGGTGGCCTCCTGGGTGGTGGGCAGGGAGCGTCTGCTCGGCAGCGACGCGTGGCTGTGATCTGCGTCTTGGCCTGATGCGTGGGAGGCCACGCTGGGGTAAACTGCGAGAGATCCGTGAATATCCATCGTTGACGTTGTCATAGAGGCGCCCTGACTGCTACCACTGCGTGATCCGGTCGGGCCGCAGAAGCCGCAATCGTTGCAAATGGCGTTGGGGTTGCCTCTTTGGATCAACTGAGTTCCACACCTCGTTGGCGAGTCCATCTTCGCAAGAGGTAAGCTGTAGAAGAGAAGACGGTGCAATCAAAGCGTTAAGCCAGAATGTGCAATTCATTCAGAACCGCTTGAGCCAAAAATGGCGTCGGAACTAAGATCTCTGGTAACTGGTCAACAATGTGTAATTCGCGCGGGCGGGGCGGCCCCTGTCGGCGCTGGAGGCGCTGTTGCTTCACTTGTAATTCGCGCGGGCGGGGCGGGGCGGGCGCGGGCGGGGCGCTCTATAGCGTTGTGGATCGAGTCCTCCTTTGCATCCGAGCCCTAACCGAACTGATCTGGATCTTAAGCTCGAGCTGCCTGAGCACATAGTAGCTGCCCCAGAGCTAATTCACGGGGGGCATGCTAGGAAGACGCGCTGCCGAAAGTTCCAAGGGACGCGCCAGGCGACGTGCCAGGGGACGTGCCATGGGGACGCACCGCGGGACGTGCCAAGGGGACGCGCTACGGAACGTGCCAATGCATTATGGACGTGCCACGGGACGTGCCAGGGGACGCGCCGCGCGACGTGCCAGGGGGACTCGCCACAGGACGCGCCACTGAACGTGCCAAAGAACGTGCCAAGTTGCAATGCTGAGTGAGTGTACCGATCTTGATGTAATGTGCCGAGGGCTGTGCTGTGCTGCGCCGTGCTGAACTGCGATGTGCCATGCCGCGATTGTGCTCTACAGCGTTGTGGATCGAGTCCTCCGTTGCATCCGAGTCCTGACCGAACTGATCTGGATCTTAAGCTCGAGCTGCCTGAGCACATAGTCCACGCAGTAGCTGCCGCAGAGCTAATTGACAAGGAAACATGCCAGGAAGACGCGCCGCGGAACGTTCCAAGGGACGCGCCAGGCGACGTGCCAGGGGACGTGCCACGGGGACGCACCGCGAGACGTGCCAAGGGGACGCGCTACAGAACGTGCTGGGGACAAGCGTCGTGTTGGTGGCCTGGACACGTAAAAACACGGTGCCAGCTCGGGACAACCATGAGAGATACCCCCTGGGTGGCCTGGACACGTAAAACACGTGGTTCCAGCTCGGGACAATCATGTTAGAGATCTCCCTGGGTGGCCTGAGCATGAAAAAACACGTGGTTCCAGCTCGGGACAGCCATGTTAGATACCCCTCTGCGTGACTTGGATACGCTGAATTCGCGCTCCCGCTCGAGACATCCTCACAACGTCTTCCCTGGAGAGGCCCCCAAAGCGCACCCCCCTGTTCAGAGCAAGAAGCCATCATTTTTCCTCATAATTCAGCGTTGGGCCCGACGCCATGTTAGATACCCCAACTCTGCAAAACCAGCGTTTCGCTCGAGACATCCTCAACAAATTCTGAAAAGCAAGCGTTTCGCTCGAGACATCCCCCAACTCTGCAAAACCAGCGTTTCGCTCGAGACATCCTCAACAAATTATGAAAAACAAACGTTCCGCTCGAGACATCCGGTCAAAATCCCAAGAAATCTAAATTCCTGCGCGCGGGACGCGGCACGCGCGAGACATCCTCAGAATTCCTGCGCGAGGGGTGCTTTTCCGTGTCGCGGTCGGCTCTGCAAAACCAGCGTTTCGCTCGAGACATCCTCAACAAATTCTGAATCCAAGCGTTTCGCTCGAGACATCCCCAACTCTGCAAAACCAGCGTTTCGCTCGAGACATCCTCAACACATTCTGAAAAACAAGCGTTTCGCTCGAGACATCCTCAAAAATAATTCCGCCGGCCCTACTCCCGCACGTAATTTATCATAGAATAATTTCGCCGGCCCTACAGCCGTCGAAACCGGGGGGTAAACCTCTAAAAGAGAACCCTGGGCTCGAGCCCTTTCCGGGAATAAGCATTTTACCTCGTTATTTACGCAGAATAATTTCGCCGGCCCTCTTCAAGTCAAAACCGGGGGTAAACCATCTAAAAGAGAACCCTGGGCCCCAGCCCTTCCCGGGAAAAGGGGTCAAGCCCAGATCCGCCACGGAGATGCTGCCAAAGCTCCGCGAGCGCGATGCAACCTGAAAAGCTGCCGCGGACCCCATCCAAAGAAACAGGCACACAGCCAGGCCCTCTGGGGCAGACCAGGGCTGAACCTACACAGTGTTTTTCGTTTTCGTTGTGTTTTTTTCCCTCGTTTTGTATTCAATCCACCTCTCCCCAAAACGAAGTCGAAACGAAAACGGCCCACGAAATCGCCAAAACACCGTTTAGACCCAGCCCTGGGGCAGACCATTATGTGTCAGGACCACACCTCAGAAATTTCCAAAATCCGCCGATCCGACGTGTGAGTTTGAAAGAGCCTTAGATGTAGCGTCAGCTTCAGTTCCTGAGCTTCTGCTCTGCTGGGGGGTGGGTGTCGGGGTGGCTCTGCCGGGGTAAGGGGGGTGGGAGGGGGGGACGCGCTGTGCCCCGTTTTCCAGCGGGGGTCTTGAGCCGTCTTGGGCCTTCGGAAAGTCAAACATGATCGACCCACGAACCCGGAAAGGAATATAGAAATGTAACGCATGGCAACGCTTTCAGAGACACCTGATTGGGTGACGGGCAAGTGCAATGCTTTGTGTATCGACCTTGATGTACCGTGCCGAGGGCTGTGCTGTGCTGTGCCGTGCTGAATTGCGATGTGCCATGCCACGAGTGTGCTCTATAGCGTTGTGGATCGAATCCTCCTTTGCATCCGAGTCCTGACCGAACTGATCTGGATCTTAAGCTCGAGCTGCCTAAGCACATAACTAGTAGCTGCCCCAGAGTTGATTGACAAGGGAACATGCCAGGAGGACGCGCCGCAGAACGTCCCAAGGGACGCGCCAGGGGACGTGCCAGGGGACGTGCCATGGGGACGCACCGCGGGACGTGCCAAGGGGACGCGCTACGGAATGTGCCAATGGACGTGCCACGGGACGTGCCAAGAGACGCACCAAGCGAAGTGCCAGGGGACGTGCCACGGGGACGCACCGCGGGACGTGCCAAGGGGACGCGCTACGGAACGTGCCAATGGACGTGCCACGGGACGTGCCAGGGGACGCGCCGCGCGACGTGCCAGGGGGACTCGCCACAGGACGCGCCACGGAACGTGCCAAAGAACGTGCCAAGTTGCAATGCTGAGTGAGTGTACCGATCTTGATGTAATGTGCCGAGGGCTGTGCTGTGCTGCGCCGTGCTGAACTGCGATGTGCCACGTGACGATTGTGCTCTATAGCGTTGTGGATCGAGTCCTCCGTTGCATCCGAGTCCTGACCGAACTGATCTGGATCTTAAGCTCGAGCTGCCTGAGCACATAGTCCACGCAGTAGCTGCCGCAGAGCTAATTGACAAGGAAACATGCCAGGAAGACGCGCCGCGGAACGTTCCAAGGGACGCGCCAGGCGACGTGCCAGGGGACGTGCCACGGGGACGCACCGCGAGACGTGCCAAGGGGACGCGCTACAGAACGTGCTGGGGACAAGCGTCGTGTTGGTGGCCTGGACACATAAAAACACGGTGCCAGCTCGGGACAACCATGAGAGATACCCCCTGGGTGGCCTGGACACGTAAAACACGTGGTTCCAGCTCGGGACAATCATGTTAGAGATCTCCCTGGGTGGCCTGAGCATGAAACATGATCGACCCACGAACCCGGAAAGGAATATAGAAATGTAACGCATGGCAACGCTTTCAGAGACACCTGATTGGGTGACGGGCAAATGCAATGCTTTGTGTATCGACCTTGATGTACCGTGCCGAGGGCTGTGCTGTGCTGTGCCGTGCTGAATTGCGATGTGCCATGCCACGAGTGTGCTCTATAGCGTTGTGGATCGAATCCTCCTTTGCATCCGAGTCCTGACCGAACTGATCTGGATCTTAAGCTCGAGCTGCCTAAGCACATAACTAGTAGCTGCCCCAGAGTTGATTGACAAGGGAACATGCCAGGAGGACGCGCCGCAGAACGTCCCAAGGGACGCGCCAGGCGACGTGCCAGGGGACGTGCCATGGGGACGCACCGCGGGACGTGCCAAGGGGACGCGCTACGGAATGTGCCAATGGACGTGCCACGGGACGTGCCAAGAGACGCACCAAGCGAGTGCCAGGGGACGTGCCACGGGGACGCACCGCGGGAC